GCGGGGGGGGTTAGCTTGATATATCAATCTTTAAGGCACGCAGCCCCTCCCACCACAACATTGCTAAAGCAAAGAAGAACTCAGCTAGCATGCTAGCTTTCGTGATTAAGAAGAAACAAAAGAACCCTGCACATCCTGGGAGAAAGACCAAACACAAACAACAAGCCCAACAAGTGCCCCTATATCATGGATGAAACGGAAAAAAAGTCACCCAAAGAACCCCCACCCAATAATTGCTCCATTGTTTGAAGGACAAATTGGCCAAGCCACGAACCAATCCAGAAAAAGATAACCCTTCTCTCCAATGGTCTTCCGCATCTCCGGTGACATGCCCTTCGGAGAGGTGAGGCTCCAGGAGACCAAATCCTCCTCCACCTGCGGCCAGCGATAGCCGCAGGCGAGTACGCGAAGCCGCTGCAAAAGCCGCAGCGGCGGGCAGGTGTTCGTGTTCGTATATCTGGTAATTACGTCTTCTCCTCTCAATTAATCAATGAGTTTTTTCTTCTCCTTTCAATTATACCGGGCTGCCTGCAAGCTTGCGCATCTTTTTGGGACACCTCCAACTTCACCTCCAACCGCTTGCGAGCCGCCCGCTCCACTCTCTCGACCGGTCGGATCGCCCCGGCGTCGGGATAGCGACGCGCCTGGATGGTTCCGTTGATGACGCGTTGGAGGCTTTGCCGCAAGACCGCCATCTGCTCACCTGCGCAGGGCTGCGGGTCATGCGGGTAGGATGCGGATGCAGTGGGATGCGGTTTTCGTGTCTGGGGGGGGCCGTGCGCTTCAAACCGAAGAATGGCAGTGAACTGATGGATCTTGACCAATGCACTCCCTGGAATCATCCATGAAGTGGATGGCATGGCCCTGGAAGACTGAAATCCGAATACCATGTTTCCCCAGGTTTCGAAGGAGACGCGGGATAAACAACCTTAGAAACACCTGCAATGCCCTGGACCATGGGTCAAACCATCGGGCCCCAACCGATGAGCTGAGGTGTTTGTGGGTCAGGTCGTAGGTCGGACCTTGTTCCTGGGGTGATCTTCTACTTCGGGATAGAACTTGAAGGCCCCCTTCTGGTGAAACATCAACGTCCCGTGTTCCCAACGGCCATGGCTTCCCCATCTAACGCTCCTAGACCCCTACGCACCAAGGCACCGACCGGTGCGGTAGGCACCTACCCACCCCCCACAAAGGCTCTGGGCGCCGCCCCGGCCTTGGGGATCTGGATGCTTGGAGCCGATCCACTGGTGCGACACAAAGATGGAGAACATCCCTGCCGCGAGGCGAGCCATCGCGTCGACCGACGCCTTCAAGTCAAGTGATCCCGCACAGGCTTAGCCCTGAGGTTAGTAAGTACACCGCAAAACTATGCCAAACCTAGCTCAATACCAGGACCCTCCTGTCGGGGTGTCTATTTATAGCCCCTTAACTTAACTGTTAAGGGTTGTCCATTAACCACCCCTTGAAGGCCCTGGTATGATGCGAAACCAGCTCAAGCACTGCCACGGCGGACCGGACACCCAAGGCCTGCGTGACCGGACCCATCACATGCAAACACTCCATGGGACTGGAATCCTTGCCGATATAACATGGACCTCGAAAGCACCCCCCATGCTGGTAAACAACGTGAAAATGCCATACGGAGTGTTTCGTGACATGGAGGCGGACCATTAGGCCACCTAAAATTAGAAATGACCTTTTTCATCCTTTTTCCCTCAACGAACTGCTGGGTGGTTGCCAGGTGAGGGGTTCCTCTACCACCTCGCCTGCCGTTCCTCCTGACCCCGCTGGCGCGGACCGGACGCCCAGTTCACCTTCACCAGGTACATCGGGAACTTCTGCTCATGGACCGGTCGCGGATTCGCCACCTGCCAAGGTGGAATCATTGGCCCAGCCGAGGTGGAACCGGCTGCTTCTCAAAGTGCAGCAGGGCTCGCACCACTGGGTTGGTTCTATTCAACAGGCCTTTGATCATTTGATCAGTAGCAGTTCAACTAAAATAAATCAGCATCAGTCTCACCCAATTTTTGTTTGGCATTGCTATAAGGCACAAGCTATACTCTCTGTAGCTATTTGGTTCGTCTTCGTCTTCTCACCTGCGGCTCGCCAGTACAACACTGGTTCCCCATGGCGGCACCGGCCGAGTCGCCGGACGGGTTCCTCCACCCCGGGGCCCAGGCCAGCTGCTGCGGTACGAGTTCACCAGGCAAAGGAGGAGCCGAAAGACCAGTCCACTCCCTGAAATAGTTCATCAATCCCCGTTGCTACCGACTACTGAGGTTCACCCCCCTATTTTACTAAACATACTTAAACAAATTTAAATTGTGAGCAACGGGGATGTTCATCATGGGCCAGCGTGGATGGCATGGCCCCGAGTTTGGATGACCATGAAATCCGAATCCCAATCAAATCCAATCAGATAATCAGATGGTTTTCACTCCTGTTCTCATCGTCGCTTCAAGTCGCTGCAGGAAGGAACGGGTCGCTGACGCGCCAGGGAGATCATTGCTGCCAGGCCATGGGGTGCTACATGTCTTTTTGGCCGCGGTCGGTTCAGCGATGGTCGACCAGCTTTGTGACAACATCTGATGAGGGCGCCTGTAAAGAACTCTACACAGGATTTCAATGTCCACATGTCACCCGGTGGATTTCCAACAATGAGTAAATGTCTACCCTATATAGATAGAGACTATTTCTGGGGGCTAGTAACATGTTCCATCATTTTCCTGACTGCGGGCCCTGCAAACCAGATCCAACTTCAAAAGTTGGCACCCAGCTGGCGTCTTTGACGTCCAGCCCTTCCGTTTGGAATGGGGCCTGGGGTCGGGCTCGACACCGCGCCCGGCTTCTGGGGCTCCAGTCCCCGATTGAACGAGCTCTAAACCTGGTCATTCCTGTAATAGATCACCTTGTCTAACTTCTGGGTCCCGCGTCCCTCACAACAACCTCTCTACTGCAAACTGCGGCGTCACACCGCGAAGGTGGCCAACCTGGCTTCGGCGTCCGGCGGAGCGTCCACCGAGGTCACCGACGTCGAACTGTTTTACTATAGGGAAGGCCGGGCCTGTGGCAACACCTCCAAACTGGATACCGGACCAAGCAGTCCGGTCGTCTAATAGTACGCCTGAGGACAGTCTAGGTTGATCTGCACCAGACACACTTGGGATCAGAAATCGTCCTCAGGTGCCTGTGACGTGAATCCTTCTGCCTGTGCTCCTGTCCTGCCACCTGACCTAAGCCTCAGTAGTAACCTGCTCCCAACCCCGCTTCAGCCTGCCCTGATTCCCCCCTTCCCGCCCCCCAAAGTTCTGGCTCAAGCCAACAGGTAGCAAGGGCAACAAATGCTTTTGACCAAGCTCCAGCGCCAGATCCTCAGGGGTCTTCCCCATGTCGTTGGTCAACGATACATCCTCAGCTCACTAGTTGGAGGTTGTCCAAACGGGCAGCCATGTAAGCCTGCTATAGCCTGTGCTTAACCTGTCAAAAGTCACCCTCTAGCACCTTTGCAGTGGTTCTTCTGATCTCCTCTTCCCAGTCGTGTCCTCTTCCGACCCTCTCTCTCTGGCGGTGACTCCGGCGACCGATGCGCCCCGTGCTACGCGACCACCCAAGGTACGGCATGATACTCCAAGAGCAGTTCCGCCAAGCGTTGATCGCCCGACCAGGCTGTAATGCCCAAGGGCGTGATGCCCGGAAAATAGGCCAAGTGTTGCACCTGGTCTGACCAGGTGAAAAGGTGCTTCGGCTGCGGGTGGGTTGGAAGTGGAGGCCAAAACGAGAGTTCGTAAGCGATGAATGGGCTCACCCCCCCATTCATGTGGCGGCAACGATATCAACCTTTCAGAAAACCCAAGGAACCTTTATGGAAGTGCGAACCGCGTCGGTGCATGTCTGACAAAGCTCTCTCGGTGCGGCTTGGGAATGTGCAAACAGGTGTGGACACATGCGAACAGGTGTGGTGACTGGTGTGACGGAATGACTGACGCCTAATGGGATGTTGGCCCCTTAGCTTGTCCATCATTGAGTCCAGTGATCAATTTAGTGGTTTACCATGGTTTACCATTGCCTCTTCTTCTGTTACCCTGTGGGCCAAGTACACCGCCATTACATGCCATTACCATATCAATAACAAATACAGTAATATGGATGGCAAAGACCCTTCAAAAAAGGATTCTTTTCCTTTTCTTTACTTCACGGGGGGGTCTTCACTCCACTTCCACCATGATTCTTTCAGGGAGTATGCTCTCCCTGGAACTCGCCTGGAAGTCGAGTACACTCTCCCCTCGTTGGTAGAGGAGGCCATGATCTTCCTTTCAAGGCCATGTCATCCACTTCCACCATGATTCTTGCAGGGAATGAGGCCATTTTTCTGTACTTCGGCATCCCCATCCTTCCACCCCCACCCGGCTGTACCGATTCTGTCTGCCGAGAGGCTCGACGGCTGCGTGGGCGGAAGTAGCTGTAGAGGTTCGCCAAGGGAATGCCCACTTTCAACCAACCCTTTGGACGGGCTTGCGCATTCCTGAGGCGTTTTTGGGGGCAAGGATATTTCTCTCGTTGAGGCGTGTTTTTCTCGCGAATTGCTCTTTTTGAGGCTTTCTTCGGTTTTTTTGTTTGTTAAATTCGTTAGAGGTTGCTTTTGGAGAGAATGAGGGTCCAAAACACAATGTTCGATTGTTAACTTATCCAGTCATGATGTCACACCTAGTGTGCAACCTGGTTTGGTTGGGTTTGCCAAGGCCATACAGTGGCACATCACCTTTGTGACATGCCACCAGTGGCGCGCAAGTGCGTTTGTGCGAGCCCAACCTGATGAGTCTTCAGAAAAAAATACATGATCCAAACATGTTCCAACACATGAATTCCAGTACATCCTCAGGCAGCTCTCGTTGCACAAGAACGGTCCCCCAAGGAATTGAGTTGGGGACAACGACTTGCAAAAAAGCAAGCAAGCACGTGTCTCTTTCAGAGTTGGCAGCACCTTAAAGGATCAAAAGCGGTTTGAGCGAGAGAGGGGGGGCAAGGGATGCAGGGAAGGCATGTGTGAATGTTCGAAGCCTAGGCTCACGTCAGCACGAGATTCGATGAGTATACGCGCAGATTCCAGTGCCTCAAGCCGCCCAGATAGGGCCAAGCAAGAACTTCCAGAAATCTGCTCCAATGATCGTATGATATGTGTATTTTTATGTATTTTTCCTTATTTTTCTTCTGGCCAGTGCCACAGTTCTTCGATTGGCTCAATTCATGGATGCCGACTTTGGGAAAACCACGCTGTCATGCATCAACTCGTTTTGCTGCTGCCCGCCTCGGGATTGTCACGGCTGTGGATTGCCAGGCCATGCAAAGGTGTATATCCGATGATGTGGACTTTGTTGGCTTGGGCGTTCGTGTCGTTGGGGCTATACCTGAGAACTTGCACACGAGGGTGAAAGATCTCATCTTTGATGTTGTGTTGGTTGTTATAGGTTACGCTACTAGTAGGTTAAACCAAAGCCCATGTAATACCCTTAACACTTCCCGACATCATCCGATTCAATGTAGACTCGGATGAACATGAATTCCAAATAACTGCAGGCTCCATGTCCATTGATTCTTTCAGGGAATGTTTTCTGGGAAATGTACCCTCCAAACTGAGAATTGACCGGTGCTGTACACTCCCATTCTCCTCTACAACCCAGTGGTTTTTTGGGGGTTCCATGTGGTCCTCTGCAGGGAAGGTCGTAAGGACCGGTCATCCGCCGCAAGGGTTGGTCCTCCGTGTCATCCACGTCGCCGGGGCCGCATGAGGTAAACACCACTTGGGGAAGCAACATATGCAGTTTGTATTTTAATAGGGAGGTTGGGGGGAGACCCCCAACCAATAAGTGTTGATCTATTTCTTTTCTTCCAGGGAGTCGAAGAAGTAGGTGGTCTCCCCTATTTTCATACACACCAGGCCCATATCATCCCAATCAATTGTTTGTTGAACGGCACGCCGTCTCGAGCGAGACTAAGCTTCCCAAACACCCATATGGACCTCGTACTGAGGTGTTAGACCGTGATAGGGAGGGGTCTGAGGTCTCAAATCCATAGGTTTTCAGGGATCAAGGGCTGGTTGGAGCGTCTGGGCAGAAGGTCATGTAACATGTCTAGAGTCTAGAGCATGCTCGCATCATCTCACATCCACCATCCATGACCAACTCCGCCCCATCCACCACCTGCCTGTTGCTCAAGAGCCCGGAATATCCAAAAAAACACAGGGAGACTCAGAACTCACTTGTTCTGGTCGCTCCCGGAGGACTTCCATCCACCACCAGCAGCAACTGAACCGCCGCCCAGGCGCCCCGCGTCCAGGATCGACTGCACGGTGGAGGCCGACGCCCAGCTGGCGGCTCCAGTGAGCGCTGTCAGGTTCCCCGGGCCGCTGTGCTGGAAGTCCGCGCGCGCAGCCAGCAGCAGCTGCGGACGAGACAGGACAGGAGCGCTGGATGTGTGGGATGGATTTTGGGATGATGGGTTGGCGGAGGTGAGGTGAGTTGTAGGATTGGAATGAGCTAGGGGAGCTAGGGGAGGCCAGGCTGGGGATCCTAGTCGCTGCTACTTTCTGAATGGCACAAAGGAACGCAACAAGGCTTGGTGGAAGTCAACAGGCCTATGTTACCTCGCTCTTTCTCACCTGTGCTTGCTTAAAACAAGCCACCAAGCCACTTGACTGTACTCGCAAGCAGCCTAAACTCATAAACATCTACAATATATATATATATACAATATATATAATATAATGTCAAGTTAGGATTAATCAATCCCCCCTAGTTAACCCGAGCCCACAAAGCCGCCGAAAATTGCCCAAAAAAAAAGTATTATTCGCTGTTGATTTCCCCCCCTATGGTCTACTTTTCTACCAACAATCCCCCCCCAGTTAATCCGAGCCCACAACCAGGTCAATTTTTCGTATTACTACTACTACTACTGCTACTGCTGCTGCTGCTACTACTACTACTCCTCCTGCTGCTGCTCCTGCTACTGCTACTAGCTACTAGCTACTAGCTATTGCTGCTGCTGCTGCCTCCTCCTCCTCCTCCTGCTCTGCTAGTGCTACTGCTACTGCTGCTGCTGCTACTGCTACTGCTACTGCTACGTGCTACTACCACGACCACCACCACCACCGCCACCACCACCATCACCACCTACTACCTACTACATGTTTGATGAAATCCTTAAAAATGTCTAGGGCTCAGGGCCTATAAATTGCCTTATTAAAAAACAATTAACAACAATCTTTTGACAAGCTCACAAAGGGTAGCCCTCACAAGGTCCCCTATCAATAATCTGCACTACTACCCCCTATTAATTTGATCCTGTGTCCCTGGCCTTTTCTTTGTGCTACTACTACCTACAACCTACTACTACCTACTACTACCTACTACCTACTACCTACTACCTACTACCGACGACGACTGCGACTACGATGGCTCCCTGAGCCGATAATTCAGGGGGGTGGACCTCATGAGTGGTATCTCAGACCTTGTTGACCTTGTTGACCTACCATGTGGGGGGGGGGTTAATTAATCCGGTCTTGACATTATATTTGTTTATGTAATATTGATATGAAGTAATATATATGTATCACAAGTTTATATCACATGAACCGATGAATCAAGGAAATCTCTCCGAACTCTGTCAACCGCTGGTCCCAGATCTGTCAATGAGTGGTGCGTCGTCGCGTCCTTCACATGCTCGGGAGATCGCACCAAGTAGGTGCACTTGATGTATGTCCTAAAAGCAGAACCGCTCAATGTGGAGCTAGGATTTGCAGCTCAAGCTCAATAAGGAACCTGGTGAGACAAAAATAACAACAAAACCAGAAATGTTAACAAGAAAAAGGAATTATACACCATTTAAACAAAACAACAAACATCACCTATAAGCCTTATTAAGCCTTAAGCAAAACCAGGCAAGGTTGGCTTCACCAGCAACTGCTCTTTTGGCAGGTCTGCAAATCTGGGAGACTTCGTTGCTGAGCGCGGTGCAAATGTGGGCATGTTTCCAACAGTTTCCAACAGTGTTCTTCCAACATCTTCCAACTGATGCAGTTTCACAGCGATCAAGGTAAGGACTCTATAGACTCTATCAACGGTTGATCTTCCCAAACTTGCGCATCTGCAAGGCGAAATCAGCCCAAACATCGGGCACTCCTTGACTTCAGATCCACGTTGGCGCGCATCTCCAGAAGGGCAGAGATCACCTCCGACTCCTGGCGGCGCGAACGGCGAACGGGGTGAAGTCCGAACGGGTCTGACCGGTGAAACACAGGAACTGCGGTGGGCCGGGCTTAAGGCCGGGGGCGGGAGTGGTCGGACTCGCAAGAAACTGGACGAAAGCCATGGTTTCGTGAGTGCCAAGCAGCCCAGGACCTCCCAAGTCCTAAAAAGAAAGCATGGCATATGTATATATAGTGCCAACCACCCCAGGACCTTCCAAGTCCTGAAAAACTGCATATATGATCATATATGGTCATCTACATTCCCTAAAAATACCTGAACTAATCAGGGGACGTGGAGTGAAACCCACCTGTTTGGTCTTCGATCTCGGTCTTCTTTTTCCCGTAGCAGCTAAGCTGGGAGTGTAAGCCATGTCTCACTCAAGCCTCGCCTGTTGTGACTTCAGCGCTGCCATCAAAGGAGTCTGACTATCAAAATAACCTCAGGAATGCGTGCCACTGCCGTGGGCGAACGACTCAACCTTGCGCCCGATGGGTTCCCTCATTGTGATATCTTTGCCTTGCCAAAGAAGGACCTCCATCTCGATTGGATCCAACGATCAACCTCACCCATCTCACCAAATCCAACCAAATAATTCCAATCTATATCCCAACATGAGTCATGGTGACTTCATAGGGAGCTTCGCCTCCAAACCCACACGACGCCGCACCAGCCCATCAGTCCAAGGCACCCAAGGTCTCCAACCCATGCAGCCGGCCATTCATGTCTGCCCGCTGCTGCCCTAGCAGCCGCAGCATCTCCGCGTCGCCCGCGAAGAGCGCACACAGCACCTGAAGACTGAAAACACCGCCGCCTGGGGAGATCGAGAGGTGTCAGTGCTTCAAAGAAAGCGCCCCCCCAGAGAATAGAATCCGAGTACCGGCACCTGTTTAAAAAAACAGGACCAAATTAACTAACAACTCATGTCGGAGACCCCACGACCAGCACTTCGTCCGATTCATGCAACTATACCAGCATATATAGCCAGTCTTGAACGAGCGAGGGCATACAGGCCATCATTCGGTGCAAAGGCGAAGGAATGACGCACGTGCAACCCGCCTTTGCACGTGCAATGCTGGCGCATCCACGACGAACCCCCTCCGGCCACCCACAACCCACAACCCACCACCGAAACGCAAACCTGGGCGCCCCGTTCATGCTGCTGGTGTCCTCTACGGCTGCTTTGAAGTTGGGGAACCGAAAGAGCTCCACGAAGTGCTGCGGCGACGTGCTCCGCGCCGCGGCCGTCTCCTGGCGTGGATCCCGGCGACGGTGGCGCCAAATGGGTCCGACTCGAGGTGCGGTCTTGTCTAGTTCCGCACACCCGTCTTATTGCAAGCAGAATGATCTTCTCAGCCGGAGCAGGAATGCCATGGTTGGACTTGTGAAAATCTGTACAAGTTTTCGGGCTCACCGCCCTGGTCACCTGAAGTCCCTATAGAAGTGTATTAAGTGAGCCAGAATTGTTATCCAGCTTCTTCAAAGTGACCTCTTAAAGGTTCCTAAGTGACCCTTAGGCGGCTTAAGTGACCTCAAACCAGGTTATCAAAAGGTCACTTTGAAGAACCAGGATAGTATGATTAATTGTTACATGTTGTTGTTCCTGCCGCCAAGCAGTCTATATACACTGTAGCCCGGCCGCATCGAGCTTGTGCTTTCCATTCTTACGACCCGCTGCTCGACGACCCGCTGCACCCGTACGACCCAAAACGGTTCCCGCCTGCTTGAAGAGCCGCGGGATGAGGGCAGAGTAGAAGCGATAAGCCCACAAGGGCCCCTTCTGGGAGAGGTATTGGATCTTGCCTCACCGAAAAGGACTGTCAGGAACGCATGGAGGACCGGGATCTATATAGAACGATATAGGAATCTGTAGCAAGGTACCTAAGCGGTGATTGCAACCTCACCTCACCCTTCCTTGCAGCAACCATAGTGAGTTGGCAGAGTGTGGCACACCAATTCGGGCGCTCATGCAAAGACGTTGCAAAAACCTCGCCCTGGCCTCCATTCGGTCATTCCATTCTTTCAAGTCGGATTCGTGCTAGTGCTAGCTCATGCGCGCGCGCGAGTGGCCCATCCCCCCACTTCGGCTGGCTCCACTGGTTGCACTGCTGAGCCACTTTGCAAGGCCAAGTGTCCCAACTGCACCACCACGGCTCGGTCACTCCTCAGCGGGCGGAATCGAGAGTCGGCAGGCAAAACGAAAGAAACACCCGCCAACCCCAAAGGATTAAGAACTTTATCTAGACCTAGACTCTTGGCCAAGAACTTCTCCGATCCCCCACCCGCAGAGGAAACAAAAACACGACCTTCTAATGACCTAATTCCTGCCCACATCGATCGTCCCAAGGCTCTCCACCGTAAATTGCCCGTTGCTGATGCTATTGTGCTGCCAGTTCCTGGCGTTCACCACGTCCCGGGCGAGTCCGGAGGTCAGGGGGCCATGTGCCGAGACGTGGCTGCGGCTCTTCACCGCCATCTACTGAGGCCGCCCAAGTCTTGGTGTCCCATGCTGTCCCAACTGGAGGCTGCCAGTGACAGCCCAGTTGGGACAGCAGGAGGTACAACCCTCCAGGCCCGAACCCATGGGAAGGGTTTGGTTCGGATCCAGGATGGTCCGGAACTCATGGATTCTTAGGGTGCTCCAGCTTTGCCAGTTCTGTTGTGAATTCCACCTACGGCCGCGTAGTAGCGGGCCAAGGGTTCAATAGTCCAATGAAATACCCTTGAACCGGCCACCAATCCCGCAGCCCAGGCTCAAGGCAAACATAAACTCCACTTCGAGCTTGCTGTGAATCACAATCACTCGGGTATCCTAAGACAGTCAGGGATCGGCCCAGGGGCCAGAGCATGAACGGAAACACCATACCGAACAGGCACAGGGAAGAGTGGACGTCAGGACGTCCTCTTCGGGAAAGGCCATTCTCCTCTACAAACAGGGTGCCATCCACTTCCATGATGGTTGGAGAGAGGGTGCAACACGTGTAGTTGGATCCCAATTACATCATGATGCCATGCGGCCATGCCATCTCCAAATTTCTGGTCACCCGACCTAGCCTGATAATAAACAATCCAGATCAATGAGGTGCTGAACAGCTGCACCAATCCCCACCTCTTGGCCCTTCACCTCCCACCTCTCCGCCCCGCATATCAGACCTCCTTGATCTGACCAAAACAACTGGTGAACTAAACTGTTACACTTCGTTATACGATTTATATACTTGAGCGGGGAAACACGAACTGTCGGGACCTTTTCTGGTGAGGGACTGACTCCGGTGTTTCAGGAACGTGCCCCTTGGTCAATCATGGATGAAACCAACAAAGCCAGAGAGCACAAGAAGGCTCAAGAGGAACACCGTTGCGGTCAGATTGCGCCACACGGCTCTGCAGAGAGGCGGTGCGTCGACGCTCGTTTGTGTAAAGGTGTGTGAAAACAGGCGCGCGTAAAGGTCGCAATGCGTAAACGCTCGCATGTGTACCAGCTATGGTCCCACAGCTGCACGCACTGTGTCAGGATTACAGGCCTGCACGCGTTGCGTCGAAGCCGCAGTGACCAACCCCCTTGTAAGGATAGTGCTGGAGGGGTGCGGCCGGTACTGCCAGGGATGGACGTCACGCTATGGTGGGTGTGCTCCACGATGCGGTAAGATTTCGCCACGCTAGGGTATAAGGCTGAGTCGAATGGTGTTCCGCGACGCGAGGGGTTTCTCCACAGGGCTTTGCAGAGAGGCTGTGTTGCATCGATGCTCGTTGATGTCGAGCAATATGGTCTGTGAACGCAGTACGCGCTGTGTCAGGCTGCCGGGTGCGCACGCGCGGCATCGAAGCCGCATTGCGCGACCTCATTGCGCAGGGTTCGTGCTGTATTGCGCAACCTCATGGCCAGCGTCGTACTGCAGTGACTGCTGAGCGCATGACTTCACCTTATGTCCAGAATGCTAGCAGTGCTGGCGACGAGACGACGAGGGGAGGGGTCGAGGAGGGGAGGGGAGGGGGGGGGGTCGAATCAATTGACTTATCAATGAATCATCACATGGGAGGGGGGGGTGAAAGAGTGACTAGGGCGTACACGGTAGAGGTGCAGACCGCTAGTGTCTTTTATGCGCAGAGTCTTATCCTCTTGCTCTTTGAGCCTTGAAGCAGTCAAGTATGGACACACTATATCGGCTGTTGGAGTGGAACCCTGTACAGGTAGGCTCTACTTTTCAGCAGGCACAAGATTCATGTCCACTCCTAGCTGATTGCGTATGTCGCACACTCTTTTTCTACTGCAAGGCTAAAACAGTCCAGCTAGCTCTAGCAACTTAAAAGAAAACTACGGTGCCATGTACTTACCTAATCCAGTGTGTTTCACACTATAGAGAAGGTAATCTCAAAGCTACTAAATACAGTGAGGGAGCAATAGCTGACTCACCTCAAGTACAAAATCAAAACGATAATGTACCTCGGCTGGAGACTGTACTTTTCACAGGCGGAGATACCATGTACCGGCGCTCACTAGCTCTTTATGGCCTGAGTTAAATCAAACTAAAAAGGGAAAGCGGCTTTTTCTCTACAGAGACCTATAAAAGAATCAAACGACACTCGCGTAACGAAGAACTAAAAATTCAAGACCGCACAAATGCAATTAATTAAAATGCCTTGCAAAATGCAAGGAGCGTACGGTCCGAGGAATAATCTTCTCGTGACGTGGTCTCGACCGCTTTCATCCACAAACAAAATAAAATTGCAAAAGGACTCTTTCTCATTTACATCAAAAACACAGGAAGGAGATACCGGCAAATGTATGTACAAAAATCTTGCACTACAATTGCAAATCATGAAATGACTTAATCATCAACCATGACTGGTTGTCCATTAGAGGTCATCTCAGAAAAAGCGGCTGGGATAGATATCATCAGTTATGCAAAACTGTCCATACCTATCTACATGCTAAAGCGTATAAACCTGGAATGCAGGAGTATCTTCTTTGATAAAAAGTTTCTCCTCATTGCAAACCAGAATTTATTAAAACTTCAGCCTGGCAACTTAAAGTCAAGCTTGGAAGCAAAGTATCAGCTGTAACCAGAAGTATCTTCACTTCCTAGCCATCATTTAAATTTCAGCCTTCGCTCAGGAATTATGCCGCTGCAAACGATGAAGCTGCTTGATCAGAAGTTGGCGGCCTTCCTTTCCTTTTATTCTCTTTTTGTTTCTCCTTCCTCCGCAGTTTCGCCTCATGAAGAGTTGCTCCCATGCGATACTGTCTTCTGTCTCCAGATGAAAAGGAAGCTGGTCTGAGTGAAATAAACATTGGACCATGACTGTCCTCGTCAGTGGGCCTTGGGCACATAACCTCCGTGTCAATCATAGCAAAGTTCTCTGAAAAATTACAGATGAACTCCTTCGTGCTCACTGTGGAATTTTCATATTCCTCTTCACTCATTGAATGACCCCATTCAACAATGGTAGACAAACATGTATCGCCAAGCTGTGATCCTCGGTATTCTTCTTTTTCAACAGTAGAATATTCTTCCCAGAGTTTATCAAAGTAAACTTCACACTTCTTGAGGACCTGTGAAGTTGAACTGTAAAATGTTCTGGGAATAGGTGCTTTGATACCAGGATCTGCTTTTACACGAGCTTCTGAAAACCTGCGGATCCAATGCTGCATGGTGCTGTAATAGTAGTTAGCCATTGGCTGCCTTTTGTACCCAGACATTCTGTAGGCCAAACTATTTGCATCACCAGAAATGATGTCCACCTCATAGACAAAACACTCGTAAAGCATCAATGCTGTCTGTTCTCCTGTCAGTAGGTGGGCATCCACAGCACGGTGTGTATCAACATGATAATTACAGACTCTGATGGTATGCATGTTCGCTCGAGTAAGTGGAACACGCTTGTCCTCAGGACCATAGTCATCAAATTCAAAGTCTGCATCCTTGAAATCTTGACGAGGCCTTGTTTCTCCAAAACAAATCTCGTAGATAGCCCAAGTTACATCACGCTGTTCACAGTGACCAAGGTCTTGGTCATGTCCAGCAATGATCTTGACATATCCACCTGGTGCCAATCTAGCCATCACTGCAAGATTCTCCCAATCATTGAAACAAACTGTCCAATTCTTTTGCTCAATGAATTCCTTGGCAGGAACAAGAAGATGAGCCTCCTGGAGAATCACGACATGTGCACGTAAAAAGAAGAGCATGTTGAAGAAAAGGTTGTTCTCAAATTGCTCATTCTGAAGTGACATGGCGCTCTGTTTGCGTGGCCTCATTGCACTATCAAGTCCTTGGAGAAACCTTGGTGTGGTGTACTTCTGACCACGAACCATGTTGCCATAGTTCCAGGATAAAAATGTCAAGGACTCTGAGCTGGCCAATAAGTTAGTTCCATATGGTTCTTCTATTCTTCCCTTGAGGAACCTTCTGCACAGCTCTTCATAGAAGGTGACAAAATCCCAACTGGGTCCCTTGGGACCATATGATTCCAGTTCCTTCTTAAGTTCCTTCTTCGTCTCCTCCAATTCTTCTCGAGCATGTTGTGCCCTTTCAAGGGCCTTTGGATCGACCTGATACTTGCCATCCAAATGAATGATGCGATCATCATTGATAAAGAATCTCTTCAAATCATGCTCTGGTTCGTGTTCATAACAATCAGGTGGAGGTACTGGACAGATATTACGAATGGATCGAACAAAATCATTCTCGTTGATCCTTGACTGATAATGAGGATGGGAAATCTCACCTTTTCTGAAACAAACATGATTCAGCAATCTTGCGTGAGTTTCCCTGAAGCATAGTTGATAAAAGCCAATACCTGGATCTCCTGTAAGCTCTCCAAGCAACTTCAAAGGTGAAGTATGCAACTCATAGGTATTGTCAACTTTTGTTGTATCCTTTTCAACAACTACTTCAGATGGAAAAGATTCCTGGATTTCAGCCTCCAATTTCTTCTCTCCATCATCCTCTCTGACCTCTTTTATTTTCTCCACCGCCTCTTTCTTCTCTTCCATGGTTGCATCATCCTGAACTTCTTCATGAAAATGAGGATCAGGTATTTTATTCAGGCGGCTTTTCTTAGATTTCGGCAGACGTGGAGTATCATCAAGGTTAGCATCCATCTCACCTGATGGTAAGTACGATGCAGCCGAGTCCTCACCTATCTCTCTTGACAGAAAGTATGGTGTTGACTCCTCCTTGGCTTCCTCCTGGTCCACTTCCATCTTTGGTTCCTCTGAAGGAAAAACACCTGCATTCTCATCAAATATTTCTTCTTCCTTTTCAGGTTCAACTGCAGGATCTTCTTCAGGAACTTCCTCTTCCATATTCTCATCTTCTAGAAGTGTCCTACTTCCAGTATAGATTCCACCAGCGATAGTGGAGACTCTTGTATAAGGAGGAACTTCTTCACCTGCCTCAAAAGCTTGTTCTGCAACATCCCTGGTGAGCAAGTCCTCTACAAGATTTTCTCCCTCGGTTCTTGGAAGAGGTCCTGAGGTCTCATAAAAATCTGTCCTCTCTGAACTGAAAGCTTCTGTCGCCTTCTCATTGTCCTTTTGATCCCTGAACAGATGAGTAATCTTCACAGCTTCTCCCTGTAGCGCCTGATCACCTCCTCTATACTTGTCGACAATGGAGCGCCATACTGGAACATTATCATCATCAAAATCAAGCTCCATATCATCTGCCAGCAAGTTTGAGATGTTTTGAGCTGCCTGTTCTTCTTCTTCATCACGTTCTTTGGCAAGCTCCTCATCCTTCTGGATCTTGAAGATACCCTTCAGGATGTCTTGTAGTACCTTTAAGTTCAGCTTCGATGATGGCTCATACG